TTACATCTGCAACTGGATCTATTTTTCCAAACGCCCACTGAAGGTGACGTAACGACTTCGAGGGATCTATACTTGAAATCCAGCAACAGAATAGGCTTTCGTTGTACAAATTTACCGTAGAGTCGTCATCGATAGAAATTTCCTGCCCGTCCTTGACAAACCGGTTGCAGTTGCAACGTTAATGAAACTCCGGAATATTCTTTAAGAATCTTTTATTTATCCGGTCAATGGATAGATATATATAGAAATAAAACTCATTAATTAAATCCATCTGAAGCATTGACATTAATATTACGGACATTTGCTATCACACGGAAAAATTTTACTCGTACAGGTCTGAATTGACTGCTGTTTTTTCTAATTTTTCTCTCTCAAGTAGCATTGTACTTTTTATTTTTACTGTATAAAATATAACAGAAATAAAATGTATGCATTAACTTTAAGTAAATCTTTACTTAGATTGAGTGATTAAATGTAAAAATACGTTTTTTTTTTTTTTTATTATTAAGTTAAAAATGTTCGAAAAAGACCGGAATTCATTTGAAAGCATTTATTATTGATAAAAATTTTGATATTATTGCATAGGCCCAAGATATAAATTACAGTTAATATGAAGTTTAACGGCTTCTCGTACCGTTTTAAATTATAAACTAGTAAAAACTTAAAAAAGTGGAGATTGATTTTCATCAAGACGAAGTGATATTTATCACACAGTATTAATTTATCTTGACTTTTTTAATAATAAATGAGTAACTTCTTAAATATATTTTTTTCCTGAAATTTTCATAAATTTTATCCGAATAAGTGTTATTAATTTAGAAAATGTTTTCAAATTTATTTCGGCCGAATATATTGTTTAATATAATTAAAGGCAAAAATCTGTAGGAATAAATTCCATAAATTAGAATTTTCACAATAAACAATGTACATTTTTTATAGAAGGAAATATATATGACTTTTTATAATCAAATTTGTATCGAGCTGTTCGTAGAAATATTTATGAAAATCCATAATTAACAACTGTACATTCACAAATAAATATATTATTTATTTATTGTGAATGTACAGTTGTTAATTACGGATTTTCATAAATATTTCTACGAACAGCTCGATACAAATTTGATTATAAAAAATCATTTTTGAAAATGCATATTTCAATTANGGAGTTTTATCAGTCCAAATAGTTTTTAATGATCATTAAACCTATTCATTTATGATAATTTTTACATAAATATTTCATTATGCAGATTTGTATAAAAGTTTTTAATATTTGATGAAATGATTATACAAGTAGTAGTGATTAAATTTTCTTGGATTTTTCTTTGCTTGTTAAAAGATTTATTAATTTTTTTTCCTAGAAATCAATTTAGCCGTAATTTCAAGAACATTTTCTGAATATAATAAAGAGGAAATCTTGTATGACTTTTTTTTTCCTAACAAGCTTATTGCTTCCAAGATTTATAAGTAAATTGAGGTTTCCTAATATGTCAATTATAGGATTTTTGAAGGTTTTTTAATGTTTGCGGATCTTGTATTTCCTGATTTGAATTAATTTTAATACTTCGAAAAAACGCTTGAATTTTAAATTTTTAAATATAATTAATTGGGCAATTTTGTATTGGGTCAAAATAATTTATATTAGTTTTAACTTAAAATATGGGATCTTTGAATGTCTCTGACCAAAATGAATATAATATGTAAATTATATTATTTTCTAACTGGTATAGTTCCTTCATCTACGATGTTCACACAGACTAATTTTTTAACGAAAATATTATTAAATTTTACGAATTTGCTTTAAAGAAGATAGCTTCATTTACATATTTGATGGATTCTAATCATAATTAATCCGTAAATAATAAATTCGATTGTTTCTGTTAAAAAACCCGTCCAGAATATTTATGCAAACGTCTTTTCTGTTGAAATTCTTAGCATGTTTACAACCGGTAGTAAAACTTGATACAAAAATGTAGAGAAGGCAAAAAAAAATTTTTTTTAACCGTATAATTGAACATCTTGTATATCATAACTAATACAAGTTAAAGTTAATTTATTATAATTAGGAAGATTGTAATTAATTTTTTAAAAGCGGTGCCGCGTCAGTTATATTTAAGTGTTGCAATAATAATAACAGGCTACTATTAATAAATTCGTTTATCTCGTCGTATCGTTAAGTTTTTCTCACTGCATAAAAACAATAGTCATTATAATTGTCGTGATTTTAATTTGTGTGTTCAGATTAATTAATAAGCTTCTACACCTTTTGGTATTTGCTCTGTTGAAGAACATTTAATGCTTACGATTAAGTCATATTCGCTATGAATATTAAATTTGCCCCAAATGGAAAAAGTGTGTGTAATTTTGTACTCTGATCACGATCGATATGCCGACTGATAAAACTTATAAAAGAATTGAATATTAATATCGTTATCATTTAGTCAAAAAATAATTTTAAAAATTTTATGGCTTCTTATCTATAAAACATTCGAATTTTGCTCAGGCTATTAGGATTTCAGGCTGCTTAAATGTAACTAGGCCCTATGAAAAAATAAATGGCCGTTTAAAAAAAACGGTTTTTTTAATTTATTTAGTACATAAAATGATGTCAGGGCTTCTTCATTGTAGTAAAGTTTAGCCTTAATAGTTCTGTGACATGATTACTCTAAATGTAAACTAGTTATTAAATTTATACAAATAAACTTCGTTCTTGATGACATGCAGAGCACTGCTATTATTTCCATTAAAATTTCGTGTACGTTTCACATATTAGTGTATGTATTTGTTTATATTTATAAACGTTTAAATGATATCAATTTAAATAAATGCATTTTATCGCAATAAATAAACATGCTATCGATTTCGTTGCTAAGTTGCTGTACAAATTTCTGATAGCTAAATCTCTGTTAGATCCGGTGTATAATATTTTATATTCGTACATTGTTAATTATATCGGTGTTAACGGAAGTTAAATATCTGGAAATCACTTTGTTGTTCGTTAGTAATTCGAGTACTGGGGGCGGCCTCTCTTTATGCTATTTGTTGCTTCTTCAGTGGTTTAATATGCGGTTGTTTTTATTAGGTCATGCCAATCGTTTCTTTTAAAAACAACAAATCTCCGGTCAGCTAATAGCTTAAGAAGTTTAGAACAGAAAGTTTTAACTTATTTATCTTTCACAATAAGCTATTAAGAAGAAAGCAAAGAGAGAGAGGAGAGTTTTTCCTCTCGTCTTTTCTGTTGAAGGAAGAAAATAAGAACTCAATTATCTGTAATTTCGGTAATATCATCAAAATTTAATTTTTTTTAAATTTTTGTAATCAATTTATTATAGTTAAATATTAAAATATTATTCTTATAATAGCGTTTTAAAAATAACGAGTAAATTAAATGATTTTTAATTTTATCGTAATTTCTTTAATGATGCTTTTATAAATTTAACATTTTAATATGCTTATATATCTTCTTAATTGTATTTATATAAAAAGTATGTTATAAATGAGAATTCGGAAGAATCATTTTGAAAATTTTAATTAATATGGTATTAAATAATAGTTTAAGAAATACTTTAATTAATATTTTATAGAATATATTAACTTTGTCATAATAGAGATGTGTTGGTAAATTATCAAAATTTGGCACGAATTTAATTATTTATTTTCAAATACTTATACATTTGCGTATAAGAATTTTTTTCAGTACGCCTTATCTATTCTCTACATGACAATAAACCTAGAGATTCTGAAACAAATAATCTAGAGGGCAATCAGTAGTTTAGTTTTTAAGATTAAGACGTTTGAGATTTTCCGATAGCATTATTTGTTAGAAAAAAATAAAAGAACTAATAATTTATAATGGTTAATCATAAAACAAGTTTTGTATATGTATATAAAAACAAATAATAAATTTTAAGTAGGCAGACATTCCAAAAACTGATAGACGGTAATTTAATAAGTAAAGTTTAATAAGTAAATTTGTAATAACTTAAACAGAAAATTAAGCAGTTTCATTCATTTCTAATAGTCGGTAATATAAATTCATAAATGTTCAAGATATTCTTCAAAACTGAGATTAAGAAAATTATCTAAAGCTTTTCTACTCGGAATAACATCAGAAATATTTCAGTGTTACGCAGTAGAGAGATAAATGTCTTGTATAGGTCTACTCGCTACATTTTTATAATTGGCCTATATACTTTAATATAATAAAATATGAGTTGCGAAATTTTAATTTAAGAATGTTGATAATTTATTTCTGTATACTTTACAGGAGTTTTATCAGTCCAAATAGTTTTTAATGATCAGTAGGTAAACGTTAGACAGAGATAATGCTTTATATTAAAAAATGCAATTATGCATTAATCTTTTGCAATTAAATGGTTTCTCTAAAATATTTTTATTTCTCTTTCAAATTTAGGCTATAGAAAAGTTAATAGATATATAATTAATCCTAATTAATGCAATTCAATAATCTATCAACACCTCTCTGTATTTAAATAAAAACTTTGATTAATCTAATAACATTCTTAATGTAATTTATAATTAATATAATAGTTATAGTTATATATTAATAACTTTTTATATATTCTTACATAAGACAACTACTGGTTAGTCGTAGAAACGTTAGTTTATTAAAAACGAATTAATTAATCGTCATAATAAAATTTAAACTAATTGCCATGGAATATCATAATTATTATTAAATTTAAAATTTTTTCAATGTATTTTTAAAGCATTCTTAATTTATCACCAATATAAATCCTGAAAGTATTTATATTTTTTTACTATTCGAACTACACGAAAACGATATGACCATGGCAGTTGGTAATATGTATTTCGATTTAAAGCCGTATCTAAATCTAAACGAAATATAGACGTTACATTCCAGTTCATTAAGTGGCATGTCTAAAAACAATAGAGTCCGTGTTTTGTTAGTTTGATAAATATCCATATCAGTCAGAATGAGAGACGGACAGTGACTCTGTCTGTCTTTTTACTTCATTTAGCTCGGATGACGAAGACAACCAAGGTCCCAAGTACACCAGGATGGACGAAGAAACCATGCAGGACAAGGAACGGTTTGCACGGTGAGTATCCACCTCCACGCCACCCCACATACCTCCTCTTTACTGTCAGGCATATCTATCTGTAGTTAGTCTGTCAACTCTTCTCCGTCCTCCTCTCCTTTATTTCATCTCATCCCGTCGTAGCCAGGACTAAATAAAAGCATGCACGGACTCTCATTAATTTGTAATTGATGCCTGCATGCTTATCATTATAGATATAGACAGACACGAGACTCACTTCCTCTCTCACTCTGTAGACTTGCCCTCTTTGATCTGAATCGGGTATTTTTGCTACCCAATGGCGGAATGTAGCGTTGCCGAGTTCTGCTAACATTATAAAATCCCGATATATAGATCGCGTTTACTACTTATTCGACATATCATGCATTCAGTTATAATGTTGGCATTCCTCTGGTGACAAAAAAAGGCCGCTCGATTCTATATTTAAAGCGTGTTGAATCGATAATTTCCGTCTTGTTAATTTAATCAGTTTTGTCATCCATCTTAATAGTCGTTATTTTTTCAATTGTTCGTAAAAGTAAGATTGGTATCATCCGTTCACCGAAAGGTAAGAATGATTTTCGAAAATGTTGATAAATTCATAGTTTTTCGATATTGGAAATTGGAACTCTTCGTGTCAAGCAAACATTATTTTAACTAAACCTTATTAACCACATCATAAAATGACCCGAGAGATCAAGTTCCGACCTATTTTCTGAGGTTCGTGTTCGCATAAACTGGCTGTCTTGCAACATAACCTATCGCCTCAGATAAACATCTTTATGTGTAGTTTCGTCCGCCGGACCTTTTCCTACGCACACTCTGCTTGGCAATAATAATCCTGACATTAAAATCCAATTATGTTTGGTTGTTGCTTTTCTAGTCTTTCGTAAATCAAAAATTATCTCCTCGTATTTTTTTTCTCGTTCCATTAGGATATCTTATGCCGAATTGCCATCGACTTCTTTTAGTATCGGTTTGAAACTGTTTTTTTTCCTAGTAAATGAAAATCTTGTACGCAGCTATTCAAATATTTACAATTTTTATTGTTTAAAAAAAGGTGCTAAATAAATATTCCGTCTTTTACCCTAAATTTGTTTTGTCTTGGAAGGAGAGTTTGGTGACTGTGATATCCCGATGAAGTTAAAATTTAAAGTTTATTTACTGTTTTATTTCGAAATATTCGTTCCTAAATACAAGTTAGCGAGTCTCTTAAAACTTTCCCATTCGGATCGTCAGTAAATACTTTTCCTTTTGCAAATAAGAATTCCATAAAATACAAAATTTTTTTAGTATTAAAAAAGCTTAATTTTTCCGCAAATTATTCTTCCGTAATTAAATTATTGACTTTTAGTCCATAAATTATATCTTTAAACTTATTTATTTGCTACCGTCGTCTTTTTTTATTTATATTTATATATATATATTTTTTTTTTATTTTTTTATTTTTTTTGGCGAATGACTTATAAGCAGTAACAGTTGGCTGGTTTGTACAGAACTACAAAAATAACATCTTATAGCCGCTTGTATGTCACTGTTAAATATTGTAACGATGCTTTTAAGATTATTTGGAGCTGGCGTTCGTCCGTTCATACATAAATCATTACGTTGGACCCGGATAAAGTAGCTTAGCCACTTTGTTGGCAAGAGAAATAAAACGCGATAAGGCTCGGTTTTTCTTCCTTTGTTATTTAGATGTATACAATCCCCGAATATATAATAGGTGAAAATATCCGAAAGAACGTTTTTAAAAGAGAAACGGCATTCGATCTCAAAAAAGGAGCGAAACCAAATATTGAGGGGAAATTTAAAGGTAGATTCTTAAGCGGATATATTACCTACAGTATTATAATTTTATAAATGTATAGGATATTCTTCTGTAATAACGAAGTGAATTGATCGGGGGTGAGCTGCGTGTTGCCACCACACAATACCGAAGCAAAGAGGCGCACGCAGACCCGGCCGTTCCCATCGCTGCTGCTGCGGTAGAGTCTACGCTATTCATCATGCGACTTGATCGGAAAGTGGCTAGAATTGATTACGGTGCACAGCTGATGGACGTATTGCATGCAGCTAATCGTTTTATTGGCCACTCGCTCTTCTAATTGAACCGACAACTCTCTGCCTCATCTCTAATTGGAGGTTTGTTCGCTCAGTGCGGTGGCCGGCTTAAAAGAAATTGCCTGTCGCTACATCTGTTTCCCCGTCCGCATTTAGTTTGATTAAATAAACGCATCGATATAAAAGTAAAATAAAATTCGAGCGGTAAAAAAAAAATTGATATGTATCTGGCGTCTCGAATATTTTATTAAAAAATTCCACCAATTTCGTTAGATCTCTTAACACGCTGATTCTTGAGCTTAGTCTTTGACGACGCGGGAAAAAAAACGCGACGTTAATTTTTGTTTCGTCCATCACGTTTGCAGACGTGTGCAACTGCTAGATTCGCGGAATTGTCGCGTGCATCTTTTATTCAATCTCCCGACTACCGAACTAGTCTTTTTTCCCCCTCCTCCTTTTTCCATTTTAACTCGGTGGTTCCAATCGAACGTAATTTGGCTGTTTGAATGCCTTTGACCTTTGCCATCCGAGCCTAGGCGTGGTCGATCGAAAGTAGCGAAACTAACAGCTCTAGTATTAACTATCGGTATCTTGATTGTGTGCACACGCGATCTCTGTACTAGGTCGATGGCATTCTGCATAGTGCAGCTTTAATCAATTTCTTTGACTGTGTTACTAACGTGGGGACGACGAAACCGCATCTGTTATATTTTCCTGGCAAAAGGCGTATGACGAAAATTTTACAGAAACATTAGATCGGTCGATCTCCCAATACAATTGTACGGGAAATGTAACGCGTTCCCCGAAAATGCTGTGATTTCACACACAATCAACCCTTCCATTTGCTATAGTAGTCGGTAATGTTGTTTCCACTAGGGGGAGAAAATGGTGGACGTGATCTGCATAAGACGCGCCTTCTATCGCTATCCTGCCCAACACGCGCAAGAATATAAGCAAATGGAGCACATTTGCGAAATGAAAATTCGGCCATTGTTGCAGTACATGACACTACGTGATAGACGCGACAATTTGAACTAGAGTTGTCTTTTCTCGGTTTAACGCGCGTAAATGGAAAATCGATAAGTTTCTTTTATTCCCCTTCCCCTTGTCCCTTTCCGTAATGTTAGAACATATTCTTTCGCACGTTGTCTCGTCTTTCTGTCCGAAATGATACGTCGGAACTTTTTCGATCGACCGGCTCGTCCCGGTAGTAATAGTTATTTTTCATAACTATGCAAAACGTTGGCCGTTTTGCGTGACGTTTTCGACCTACCGTCGGTTGATTGACCGCTGTTATTTTGTCATTACAGGGAAAATCATAGCGAAATCGAGAGGAGGAGAAGAAACAAGATGACTGCTTATATCACCGAACTGTCCGACATGGTTCCCACTTGTAGCGCCTTAGCCCGAAAACCTGATAAATTAACCATTTTACGGATGGCCGTTGCTCACATGAAAAGTCTACGAGGTTCGTACACAAATTATTTATAGAATAATGTGTATTTTATTAGTTTTTTTTCTATATTACTGATACATGACCTATAACTAGTCGAAATTCGAGATTGCTGAGAAATATAGTAATAAATGTTTAGTAGAAATTTTGGGGAGAAAATTGCCGATTTAGAAATGACGGATGCTCTCATGGAAGACCTAAAGCAATGCCATTTGTCATTCCAAACTGAAGCAATATCATTACGTGTCAAACATCGCCGACGTGTCGTAACAACATTTCTTGTAAACTATCAAATTATTGATGAAATCTATTAAGCCTATAGCAACTTAATGACTGTATTCCCAATGTTTTATACATTATTCTACACTATAAACGTACCTTTTTTAATATTAAATTCATTAAAAATAAAGGCTTAACCGTTATACTTGTAAAAATTGAATATTTTTTACTACTTCTAACACTTGTAATAAAATAATACGCCAATGGATTCGCACGCTAAACGCTGATTTGCCCATTCAAAATGATGTAACATTGCACCTTATAACTAATTATTACACGCTTCGCAATTTATGGAACTATTGTCGAATTCTCAACATGGAATAACCAATTGTACGACGAACTAATTGAGAGAAGTAGTACCTGGAAATCACTTTACCTGCCCCTTTTGTATAGAAAGTATCGATCGACACTTGTGTAAAGTGAAAGGGGGTGGGTGAAAAATTGTTGCGTGTTGCATATATTAAGTGTAACGGCACACTGGCGCCATCACCGACCCCTCCTTTGTCTGATATTTTGTTCTCTAGAATCTTTCTAGTTCGTATTTGCTGAGAAATTCGCATTACACATGTTTTTCTCTTCGGTTACATGGATTATCGAATTATGTCATTAAAAAAGTAAACAAACAAGCATGTTTTTGTCTATCTGTAAAATACATAATTTTTCTTTTATCATTCGATAGTTTAAAACAAATAATAGTTAATCTCTAAGTCCGATGACATGTCTTGAATAAACATTTATTCGTTGTAAGAATACTACGAATGTTTCTCCTTTGCTTTAACGTAGCGAACCGATTCTAGCATGCTTTTCCTTGTTGTGTCTATTCTCATCGTTACCAAGGCAACAAAGTTCAACTATATAAAGGGGAGTAAAATAAACACGGAAAGGATAATTTGAATCATTTCCTCTAGAATAGTTTATTGATTATAGCTTTAATCAATTTATTACTGATTTGAAACAATTGTTATATAAATTATTTACATCATTAATTTCTGATTAGCAAAAATCCTGAGTTCTCTATATTTTACACCTTAAACCAATCTTTCTTTCTACCATATACAGTGTTGTTTTTTTATGAAATCTCTTTCAGTAGATGCTATTTTAATAATTATTGTTATAGTTTTAAAGTCGTAGATATGTTTGTTATGTAATTGTTTTTATTGTTTACTTTTTATCCTGTCATTTGACTGATTACAATCAGACAGCTTTGTCAATAGTTCTAGAATAAATG